GGATTCTGGGAGTTGAAGTCCACCCCTCTTAAAGCATGCTGGCTGGAGGATTCTGGGAGTTGAAGTCCACCCCTCTTAAAGCATAGCTGACTGTGGTGTTCTGGGAGTTGAAGTCTACCTGTCTTAAGGTTGCCAATTTTGGAGACTCCTGGTCCAGGTGTGACCCTTTGAAGGAACCCTTTCAAGAAGGTTTTTTTTCCCCCTCCTCTTAAAGCCAGCAGCACCTGTGAAGAGCAGCCCCGCCCAGCCCCACCTGTCTCGTGGCTTGGATTGACAGACAGACAGACAGAGAGAGGAAAAGCAGCAAGGTGTATCTCCGGTCAGGTAAAAAAAGGTAGATGGCAAAAGGTAGAAACCTGGGGCATTGGAGTCGGGAAGGAACAAAGGCTGCAGCAGCCCAGAGGAGTTGGCGGCCGGTCCTGGAAAGAAGCAGAAGGGGAAGGAAGGGAGGTATAAAAAGAAAAGAAAAAAGAGAGGGGAGGGGTACGTTGGCCATTATTCCCTCCCCCCCCCCTCAGTCCTTCAGGCTGGATTCAGAGTGCTCCTCAATTGGGACCCTTCAGGACCATCCCTGATACCCCAGTCAATTCGTAGCTTGACTACTGCAACAGTTTGTACATGGGGCCGCCCTTGGAGACGACTCCCCCGGGGCTAAAATACACGTCTGAGGCTGAAACAGGGCCACCTGGTTTCAAGGAATGGATCAGAGGTGGTATATTCAGCCGGTTCAGACCAGTTCTGGAGAACCAGTAGCAGGAATTTTGAGTGGTTCAGACAAAACCGGCCAAGCCCACCTCTGACTGGCCCCGCCAACCCCCATCTCTTCTCTGCCTCCCCGTTGAGTCCCGGCTGATCGTCTGGGTCTCCTTTGGTTGCCCTGCCCAGGAGAACGGAGCTGGAAAGCAGGTGAGTGGGGTGGGGAGGGAAGGGGGATTTTGCAGTATATCCTTCCTCTGCCACGCCCACCAAGCCACACTGACAGAACCGGTAGTAAAAAATGTTGAATCCCATCACTAGCATGGATCCCTCTGGGGTGGAGTGGGAATCTCCATGGATCTCCTGCTCAGAGGGGGGTCATCTCCTCTACTACAGGAGATCCAGGTCGAAACCAAGAGAGGCGAGACCTCAGGCCGAATGTTGCCCGTGTTGTGTTTCTGCATGGGGGTTTGAAGGGCTTGCACCGCACGATAGGGAGAGTCCTTGGCTTACGGTTTTTCATTGAGCGGCCGTTCAAGGTTGAACCGCGCTGAAAAACGTGGATCGTTGCTGCATCCTCAGGGCAGGTCTGGGCTGCTGGGGGGTTTGCAGGGGTTCGGGAGAGCCCCGTAGCTAAGATTCTGCGCAGTTCGGAGGACCCCCCCCCCCCCAGATCCCACTCCTGGCTGGCCCCGCCTACCTTGCCCCTCCCCTCCCCGGAGTCCCCACGTGGCCTGTTTTGGATGCGGGGAAGTGCAGGGCACAAGCAGAGAGTCAGGGGAGGGCAAGAAATGGGCCTGTTTCCAGCTTCCAGAGATCCTCCAGAGCCCAGGGAGGCCATTTTCGCCCTCCTGAGAGGCTCAAGGAAAGCCTCCGGAGTCCAGGGAAGGCAAAAATGCCCCCCCCCACCTCGCAGTGGTGCAGGAGGCCAACTAGGCCACGCCCACTCTGGCCATGCCCACCCATCAACCGGGTTACCCCTTGCTAAAATGTTTGAAGCCCGCCCCTGCCTCAGGTTCACGTGATCCAAATTGGAACGTTTGGCAACGGACCATCGTCGCGCTGCCTCCCCCCCCCCGGGGTCGCGTGATCCCCTTTTGCGACCTTCGGACACAGGCAAAGTCCAGGGGAAAGCCTGATCCACGTAACAACCATGTGACTAACCTCATCAGCCACCGTGATTCGCTTCACAGCCGTGGGCAAGAAAAGTCGTGAAAGGAGACCAAACTCGCTCAACAAATGGAAATTTTGGGCTCTCTTGGGGGTCGTAAGCCGAGGAATACCTCTTTTCATAAAAACCTTGGCTTTTCTGCCTCCAGGATCTGGTGGGTTCCTGGTAAGGATCAACCAACCAGGGAGAGAATCATACCCTGCCCTTGGCAGAGAGATTTTGCAAGTGACTTGCCATCCCTCGTGACCCAGCCTGCTGGTTAGGTTGGAGAAGAATGATTGTTGGGTGGACTATGCAAGGACAAGACCTCAGGAGGTCAACGTCTACTCAATTGCAGTAAAGTTGTAAGACGAGGACTACCTGCCTTGGTCCAGGTCAGGGAGGGGTCTCCAAACTCGGTAACTTTAAGATTTGCGGCCTTCGACTCTCCATGCTGACTGGGGGATTAAAACCTACTCGGTGGGGGATTCTGGGAGTTGAAGTCTATCCTTCTTAAAGCATGCTGGGTGGGGGGATTCTGGGAGTTGAAGTCTATCCCTCTTAAAACCTACTCGGTGGGGGATTCTGGGAGTTGAAGTCTATCCTTCTTAAAGCCTGCTGGGTGGGGGATTCTGGGAGTTGAAGTCTATCCCTCTTAAAGCCTGCTGGATAGGGGATTCTGGGAGTTGAAGTCTATCCCTCTTAAAGCATGCTGGCTGGGGGATTCTGGGAGTTGAAGTCTATGCCTCTTAAACCATGCCGGCTGGGGGATTCTGGGAGTTGAAGTCCACCCCTCTTAAAGCATGCTGGGTGGGGGATTCTGGGAGTTGAAGTCCACCCCTCTTAAAGCAAGCTGGCTGGGGGATTCTGGGAGTTCCACATCAAGTTCAAAGTTTACTCCACTGACCCTCATCCAAACTCTACTGACCTGGTAAGAGGTGCTTGACATCTTGGCTTGCTTCTGCTTCTCCTCAATCTTCTGTCTCAACGGCATCAGCACCAACTCCACCACTCCAGGGGTGCACTGCGCAATCTTCCGGACGATGTCTTCGGGGATGGAAAAATTCAATTTGCTCAACACTTTCCTGAAAAAAAGAGGCGTGGAACTGAGCAGGTGAGTCCACACACACACACACACACAACCCACCCCACCCCCCCAGGGTCACTGGTGTGTCCGGGATTTGACACACCCAGAAAGAGGCAGGTGGAGCCCCTTGCCCTACGACAGAGATCATGGCCTGTTTGGGAATAAAAAAAAATATTTAGCACAGGTAGTCTTCAACTTACGGCTACCACCGAGCCCCACATTTCTGTTGATAAGTGACACCTTCGTTGAAGGAATTGTGACCATGTCAGCAGTGGGATCCTACATTAACTCTGGTAATATCACACTACTAACTAAAGCATACAAAACATTTGCTAGACCAATACTCGAATACAGCTCATCAGTCTGGAACCCACATTACGTATCTGATATTAGCACAATTGAGAAAGTCCAGAAATATTTCACAAGAAGAGTTCTCCACTCCTCTACTCGTTGTAGAATACCTTATGCCACCAGACTTGAGATTCTAGAACTAGAAAACCTTGAATTACGCTGTCTTCGGTCTGATTTAAGTATGGTATATAAAATCATACATTGCAATGTCCTCCCTGTCAATGAATACTTCAGCTTCAACCAGAACAACACAAGAGCACACAATAGATACAAACTCAAGGTTAACCACACCAAACTTGATTGCAGGAAATACGACTTCAGCAACAGAGTGGTCAATGTCTGGAATACTCTACCCGACTCTGTGGTTTCTTCCCCAAACCCCAAAAACTTTAACCTTAGACTGTCTACTATTGACCTCACCCCTTTCCTAAGAGGTCTGTAGGGGGCGTGCATAAGCACACCCACGTGCCTACCGTCCCTGTCCTGTTGTTTCTTTTTATTTTTATTTTTCTTATATGTACCCATTTCATGTATTCATAACTATGTATACACTTATACTTATTATCTTGTAAACAATTGACAAATCAAATAAATAAATAAATAAATAAATAAATAAATGTTCCACTACCGCGTGCACCTAGTGTACATGCACCTAATGTGCGCGCCCAGCTTTCCCCACACCAGCTGAGGCCTGCGGTGCCAATCAGCTGAGAAAAGAAAGAAGAGAAAAAGGCAGGGGCGTGTGGGAGGGCCGATCCTGCCCTTTCCTCTTCTTTTTCTCCTCTCAGCTGATCGTTGGAGGCTTTTTTTTTTTTACTACCGGTTCAGTTGAACCGGTACAAACCGGTAGCATAATCACCTCTGAGCCACGTCCTTTCTTGCCACAGTTGTGACTGCAGTTGATAAATTAGCATCACAGTTGTTAAGTGAATCTGGCTTCCCCCTTGACTCTGCTTCTCAAAAGGTTGCAAAAAGGGGATCGCGTGGCCCCGGGGGGGCACTACGACCGTCGTAAATATGAACCAGTTGCCAAGCACCTGAATTTTGATCCCGTGACCATGGGGGATGCTATAAGGGCTTGTTAGAGTGAACAATGGTCCCAAGTCACTTTTCTTCAATTCGTTTGCAACTTTGAACGGTCGCTAAATGAACTGTTGTAAGCTGAGGACTACCTTTTCCCCTTTAACTTTTTTTTAAATTAGTTTATCAAAGTATAAAAGACAAAGGGGGAAAAAAGCATGGAAAAGTAAGAGGAGAGGGAAGGGAAAAGATGGAATATGGTGTAATGAGAGAAGAAAAAGGCCCTGACATCCGACTCTCTTTAGCACAGTAAAACCACAACTTTTTTGCTTTTACACAACAGCATATGCAAGCCATTTCTAGAACAATAAGCCTATCGAGTTTACAAAAGAAAAATCAAAATTTCATTTCCCCTCCCCCCCTCCATTGTAAGCACAAAAGCCGGAAGCAGTTTCAAAATAAAGAGAGAATTAAATATATTCTCTTCTTTGGGTAAAAGAATCAGTTTAACCATCTCTGCTTCTCTTTGCTGTGGGGGATAATATATCATATCATATCATATCATATCTATATCTATATCTATATCTCTATCTCTATCTCTATCTCTATCTCTATCTCTATCTCTATCTCTATATCTCTCTATCTCTATCTATCTCTATCTCTATCTCTATCTCTATCTCTATCTCTATCTCTATCTCTATCTCTATCTCTATCTCTATCTCTATCTCTATCTCTATCTCTATCTCTATCTATCTATCTATCTATCTATCTATCTATCTATCTATCTATCTAAATTAATTCTCACATTTTCAAATCTAGTCAATACTATTTTATAAACTTTGGAGTATTATTCAGCCTTGCTTAAAGAACCTGAGGACCTGCGTTTACATACGTACTCATTTTATACATACAAAACTAAGGACTACCTGAGTGTGAATAATGAATACTCATATCAATATTCACACAGAGAAGAGGGTTACACACATTGTTGGCAAGGCAGGTCCCCATGGACAACAGCCAATCTCCATCAAACTATGGTGAACACTAGTATTCTCACCAAAGGCTTCGGAGACCGTAATTACACACAGGCTTATTTTAAAAACAAGTCTTGTTTTATTGCAATGCTGGGAATTATTTTCATTCCCAGTTGGCAATGAATCTCAAACAGTCCCTCGAGATAAGCACCCACCTTTCTTTCTTGTGAAGTGCTGCCAGTAACAGAAGTATCAAATGAACTAGAAGAGAAACCAACCGAAGTACAAAGAGCTTCAAGAATGAATCTGAAGCAAACGAACGACTTTGCTTCCTGCAAAGGTTTTGTCATCTTTGCCTGTCCTTTACACCTTATGGAAGGAGCAATCACCCCCCAGCCTTAGTCCCAAATCGCCCCCTTTTGTTTCATCTGCTCTTGCCTTCTAGCAGCTCTGCCACATGCGCACTGGGAACAGGCTCCCCTTGTTCCTCTGCCTCGCTGCTGCCAGACTCCGAAGGCAGCACCCCACTCCCAAATGGTCCTGGCCCCATTTCTGCATCGGATGCAAGATCCTCATCTGAGTCCTCTCCAGACTTCTGGACTGATCCCCATTCTTCCCCACTGTCTGATTCCACTGCCGTCTGCACAGGCTGCCGGCGAACCACAACAGCTAGCTTTACCTGTAAAATACTCACCTGTTCAGGTGTCCCCAGTTGGAGAGCTTCTGTTGGGTGGAATTAGCTGGAGCATAATTGTGCATTTCCACCATTTTGGGAAAATAAAACTTCACCACCTCGGCCACCAGAACTGGATGAGCAATAAAAAGAAGGAAGTCCTTGACATACAACTGGAATGGAATCCACCCAATTTATGCTTGCTGAGTGAGACAGTTGTTAAGTCAACTTTGCTCCATTTTACAACATGTCTTGCCACTGTTGTTAAGGGAATCACTGCAGTCATTCAGTTAGGAACACGGTTGTTAAGTGAATCTGGCTTCCCCACTGACTTGGCTCATGAGAAGCGATGACGTGATCTCGGGACACTGCAACGGTCATAAATATGAGTCCATGTCTGAATGTTGATCATGTGACCATAGGGATGATTGTTCTGACCAAGGCTTCCCGAGACCATAATTAAGCACACGCTTAGTTAAAACAATTCTTGTTTTATTTCAATGCTGGGAATTATTTTCATTCCCAGCCGGTAATGAATCTCAAACCATCCCTTCGAGATAAGCACCCACCTTTCTCTCCTTTGAATTGCTGCCAACAACTAGAGTGCCAAATGAATTATAAAAAACCAACCGAAGCACAAAGTCCACATAGAGCTTTAAGGATTAATCAGATCAGAGGGAACGACGTTGCTTCCTGCAAAGGTTTCGTCACCTTTGCCTGTCCTTTATATCTTATGGGAGGGGCAATCAGCTCCAAGCCTTACTCCCAAGTCGCCCCTTTTGTCTCAGCTGCTCTTCTAGCAGCCCTGCACACACACGCACGGTGAACAGGCTCCCCTTGTTCCTCAGCTTCGCTGCTGCCAGACTCCGGAGGCTCCGTAGGCAGCACCCCACTCCCAGATGGTCCTGGCCCCATCTCTGCATCAGATGCAGGAACCTCGTCCGAGTCCCCTTCAGACTCCCGGACTGGTCCCCATTCTTCCCCACTGTCCAATTCTGCTGCCATCTCCACAGGCTGCCAGCGAACCACAACAATGATGCAATGGTTCTAAGTGTGAAAAACGGTCATAAATCATTGTTTTCAGGGTTGTTGTAACTTCAATAAGTCACTAAATGAACTGTTGTAAACCAACACATACCTGTACAGTTCATTTAGTGACCGTTCAAAGTTACAACAGGCCTGAAAAAAGTGATTTACGACCGTGTTTCACACTTACGACCATTGCAGCCTCCCCGTGGTCAGGTGATGAAAATTCAAAAGCTTGGCAACTGGTCACAGTGTCCCAAGGTCACGTGATCCCCTTTTGCGACCTTCTGACAAAGCAAAGTCAATGGGGGGGAGGGGGTTTAAGCCAGATTCACATAACGACCGGATTAGTAACACATTAACTGCAGTGGTTCACTTTAACAATCGAGGCAAGAAAGCCCGTAAAATGGGGCAAAAGTCACTTAAACAAATGTCTCCCTTAACAAGAGAAAATGTGGGCTCCGTTGTGGTCGTAAGTCGAGGACTACTGCATTCCCACCCTCCCCTTGTCCTAATTCAACACTCCTCAACTCCATGAGTTGGACTTCAACTCCCAGAATTCTCAGCAATGGCAAAGCCCACTGGGGAATTCTAGGAGTTGAAGTCCATAAAGCAAGTTTGGGAGACCCTGTCTAATTCTTTCAGTGCAGTTACCTGCGAAGGTTCTGGAGCTTGTAAGAACTCCTGAGGGTCCCACGGGGGTCTTTCCCATCGCTTCAGGCCCTGCCCCCCTGCCCAAGACCCCCACTCCTGCACAAGTTGCTTTCTCAGGGGTCTCTCCCCCAAGGAACATCCACTCCATCCCCTGACTGGATATTGGTAGGGGGTGGAAGGGGACACCCCCCCACACCAGGCTGCTAAAGGGGGAAGGGGTCTCCAGGGGGCCCTCCGATTTCTGCAACAGTTGGGGGCCAACCGTCCCCAACCGGGCGCCCTCCGGAGAGATGGGGGGGAGGAGTGGAAGATGCAGGGAAAATGGCCATTTCTGGGAGGGCGCCCAGTTGGGGATGGCTGCTTCCCAGACTCACGCCCCCCTCCCTCCCTCCCTCCCTCCCCTCCAACCCCAAACCTCCATCGCTGAAGTCGCGGGTGATGTTCCTCTTGGGGCGGGAGAGAGGGATGGCATCCACCCAGCTGTAGAGGTCATTGAGACTCTCCTCATCCAGGTCACCGTGGGCCATGGTGCCTTCTGCCCGGCCCTGCCACGCTCCTTCCTAGCCAGCAGGGCTGGGGGCGGCCATATTGTTTGCATGGGCAGCCATGGCAACCCCAGCCTCTCTCTCTCTCTCTCTCTCTCTCTCTCTCTCTCTCCTCCACCCCACCTCTACATTCTCAGGAGAGGCATTGTGGGAGCCGTAGTTCTCTCTGGCGCCTAGCAACCACAGCTACCACAACAGGGTTGCTAGGCAACCGGTGCATCCTAGCAGCAGCAGGCATCCTCCTCCCCCTCTCCCTCTGGGAAAAGGACCCGAAGGACCCTTCCTGGCCTATGGGCGTCTGGGGCAGTGGGCCCAAGTGTTGACGACAGGGCCCATGATTCCCAGCCCTTCTGGGAGCAAGAGGAAGAGAAATAAAAAGAAAGGAAGGCTGGGCACCTTGCAAATGTCTCTCTGCCAGGTGGAGCAACCCCTTCAAAAATGGAGGCTACACCAAGGGACTTCAAATTCGGCAGCTTTAAGACTTGTGGACTTCAACTCCCCAAATTCCCGAGCTAACATGACTGGAGGAGGAGTTCTGGGAGTTAAAGTCCACCAGTCTTAAAGCTGTCAAGTTTGAAGACCCCTGGGCTACACAAATGCAGGGCATAGTTCTTCCTAAGTAGGGCTGTACCAGTTGGATTTTCAACCTGCTTTATTTTGTTCTGAATCCAGGCAGGTTTAGGGCAACTGATAAACAGAAAACAACAACTGCATGAAAAACTGCTGGTGACCTTCTACCGCTGCACCATAGAGAGCATTTTAACATACAGCACCTCTGTATGGTTTGCCAACTGCACAGGGGCAGATAGGAAAGAGCTCCAGAGGGTTAACGTCATTGCCCAGAGGATCATGGGTTGCCCTCTCCCCTCTTTGGAAGAGCTTTAGAGCTCCCGCTGCCTTAAGAAAGTTCAAAACATCCTCAAAGATCCATCTCATCCTGGGCACCCCCTTTTTTTGGAACTATTACTATCTGGCAGACAGTACAGGATAATAAAATCAAGGACAAATAGGCTGAAAAACAGCTGCTATCCCAGGGCAGCAACTCTATTGAATTCTGCTGTATAGTGCAATATGAATGCAATATCAGGGGGTTTCAATTCAATGTGTATAGAATGTGAAGGATGTGTGTTTGCGTTTATTTTCATAGTCATAATGTATACATGAGATGGCATTTAATTTTGTTGTACGAGGTGCAATGACAAAAAAAGTAAAGTAATCTAAACTAAACTAAAAAGAACTGATAGAATCATCCACAGGAATTAAAGCATCCCTAGGGAATATAAACAATGAAAATGCAGATAGGCCTAGACCAGTGGTGGCTAACCTTTTTCGGCTCCCATGCCAATTATTGCGTGTGCTCTCACTTGCGTGCGCTTGTGTGCCAGCACCCAGAAGGCAATGCGTGCTGAGCACCCCCCCCCCCGCCCCCGTGCATGTGCGCCCGATTCCCCCATCGTGCACCATGCATGTTTGCGCATGCGCACGCGACTCCTCACGTGCTGCAGATCTGTGTGCATGCACATTTCAACGATCCATTTTGCTGACAGAAAAAAATCCCAGAAGGCCTCAAGAAAAAAATATATATTTTCTGCCTCATTCATAGCAGGCCCTTGAATCCTGTCATTATTCTCTCTGCTTTGTGTCTTTGCAACACAAAATGTTGGCAAGCAGGCCCCGGCTTGTCGCGCCTGGCAATTGCCTCGCCCAACATATTTTCCCCTGGTTCTCACGTGTACACAGGGAGGGGCCCCAAAATTCATTGGCTTCAGAAACTTCTCAGTATCGAAGGAATTAAATTCAGAGGCCCTTCGCTCAGAAACGCCTCGAGGTATTTCCCTGGCACTAGAAATAATTACTCTCTACATGGGGATTAATTATTGAAATTAATGAAGCTGGGGGCAAAGAATCCATTTGCCCCTCAGAGAGGCCACGGGAATGCCATTTTCCTCTAATCTGCAGATGTTTGCTTTTTTTAAAAAAAAAATCCCCCCCCCCATTCATGTGGAAGACATCTGGCCTCCTTATCAAAGTGGCTCCGATTTCCCACAAATCCAGATTAGGCTCCAGATTAAGCAGCCAATTCCTATTTCTCCCTTTTTGTATACTAAGAAAATCAGCAGCGATTTAGAGGAGATGGATGAGAAGCGGCTTTGCTGTGAAGTGAGTCCCGTCCCCAACCATTTTTGTCAATTGTAAAGCAATTGTGTGTGTGTGTGTGTGTCTGTGTGTGTCTGTGTGTGTCTGTGTGTGAGAGAGAGAGTGCACTTGTGTGAGTGAGCGACTTGCATGTGTGTGTGTGTGTGTGTGACAGGAAGAGATGTGCGTCTGTGAGAGGTGTATCCATGTGTGAGAAATGTGGGTGTGTGAGACGTGTTTCTGCATGAGAGAAATCTGTTTATGTCTAGAGAGATTTGTATGCGGGGTGTGTGTGTGTGTGTGTGTGTAAGAGACTGTGTATGACAGATGTGTGTGTGTAGGTGTGAGACTTGTGTGCACGTAAGAGGTGTGTGTATATACATCAAAAGGCTTGTGTGAGAGATGTGCCAGAGAGGCATGTTAGAGGCGTACATGTGTGTGTGAGCGGATTTGTGAGACGTGTCTGAGACACGTGTGTGCGCATGTGAAAGACATTGTGTGTGTATGTGTGTGAGGGAGAGAGGTGTGTGTGTGTGAGATGATTGTTTGAGAGAGATGTTGTGTATGAGAGATGTGTGCCTGTGTGTGTGAGACTTATGCGCATGTGAGAGAGATGTGTGTGAGACTTGTGTGTGAGAGAGGTGTATACGTGTACGAAGGGGAGACGTGTGTGTGTGTGTGTGTGAGCGGATTTGTGAGACGTGTCTGAGACACGTCTGTGTTCATGTGAAAGACACTGTGTGTGTATGTGTGTGTGTGGGGGGAAAGACTTATGTATGAATTGATTCTGTGTGACGAGTGTGTGAGGTGTGTGTGTGTGTGTGTGTTTGTGGGAGACATGAGAGAGAACAATGTACCCCCTTGGGATGGCCCTGTCATTGCAGGGGCCACCAGAGGCTCCTGCCAGGCTGTGAAACTGATCCCTGTGAGGCGAGACCCTCCCTCCCTCCCTGATGCACCCCTTCCCCATTAGCTCTCTCTCTGCAGCCATGTCCGGCTGTCTGTGGCCAGGCTGGAGCCACCGGCCACTCCACTGGTGATAATGCTCCTGCCGAAATTGCCTTTCCAAGGGCCCAGGAGACGAAGCCGGGTGCCAAGCAGATAACCAGCATTCAGAAGCAGCCACCACCTCCCCTCCCCTGCCAAGGTGTGCGTGTGTGTGTGTGTGTGTCATTCTCACACCTGACCTCTGGACTGAGCTGATCTGCGGCCGGGCCCAGGGCTGACCACTCGCGGTATGGAAAATGTGAGCCATCGCAAGAGTTTCTGCAATCACAACGGTGAGGGTGTATGTGTGCTTGTTAAATACAGCCTTTCAATCAGAATAGAGCTGGAGGGGACCTTGGAGGTCATCCAGTCCAACCCCTGGTTCAAGCGGGAGACCCTTTTACCATTTCAGATAAACGGTTGTCCAGACTTTTTTTTGAAAACCTCCAGTGGTGAATGAAATAGAATGCAGAATAGGAGTTGGAAGGGACCTTGGAGGTCATCCAGTCCAACCCCCTGCTCAGGCAGCAGACCCTGTAACATTTCAGACAAATGGTAGTCCAATCTCTTCTTAAAAACTTCCAGTGTTGGAGAATTCACAACTTCTGGAGTGGAAGCCATTCCACTGATTAATTGTTCTCTCAGGAAATTTCTCCTTATTTCCAGGTTGGTTCTCTTCTTGGTAAAGTTTCCATCCTTTGCTTCTTGTCTTGCCTTCGGGGGGCTTTGGAGAACAGCTGACCCCCTCCTCTTTGTGGCAGCCCCTGAAATACTGGAATACTGCTATTATGTCCCCCCAATCCTTCTTTCCTCTGTTCTCTACAATTACTACCAACCTGCCTTCCATCGAGGACCCGTATACTGCACGAGTCAAAGGGGCTGTGAAAATATCTACAGACCCCTCACATCCCGGACATAAACTGTTTCAACTCCTCCCCTCAAAACGACGCTATAGAGCCCTGCACACCAGAATAACTAGACACAAGAATAGTTTTTTCCCCAAAAGCCATCACTCTGCTAAACAAATAATTCCCTCAACACTGTTCAACTATTTACAAAGTCTGCACTAATATTACTGTTAATCTTCTCATCACTCATTATCACCCATCCCCTCCCACTTGTGACTGTATGACTGTAACTTTGTTGCTTGTATCGTTACGATTTATATTGACTGTTTCCTAGTATCATTTGATTGTTTATTGCACC